CGGCTGCCCCGGCGTAGTTACGGCCCTGGGTGGATACCAAAACATTTAGTTTTATTCTGCAAATTTCCGACTATCTATTTCTTCTAAATAACAAACATCAAAATTAGCGAAATATAAGTCTCTATTGATACATTTATATTGCAGGCAGGACTCGGCAGCCGCCATGCTACCATCCAGAGAGAGGCAGTGAGAATGGTCCATACTTCTATTGTTGATTTTAAAATATAATCGTAATCGTTAAATAATACATGCACGCATGCAATATTTTTGTTTTAAAAATAAAAGTTCTGTTTATTAATTATTATGGAGAAGGGAGTATTTTTATTTATCATGGGTTTAAGCCATGTTCAATTTTAAACTGATTGCTATTTTAAATTTTTTTACTGCTAATGAAACTGAGTTTTTTTTATTAAAAATATTTCGAAAATACAAATATTTCTCTTAAGCTGTGATGTCAACAAGTTTGCATTAAATGTAAATTTTGGTGATTATTCTCGACTTGCATCATATTTATTCATCATTCAAGGTTTATACAGATAGTTATGAGTTAATCCTACATCATTATATATAGTTTTTGCTCGATATATATTACATTAACAGTTATAATAAGAGGATTTCTAAAAATTGTGGCCTGTTGGCATAAGTGGACCCATTATTCCAATATTTGTCGGTATATTTATGTGCCAGTTATAGGGTTTAATGGGGATATTTCCCTATCGTGATGTGTCGTGCTAACTACAATTGCCATATACATGCAATTAAAAGGGAAAAAAAAACATGTAGATGGAGTGGCTTCGAGTTATTTCTTTCGAGTTGAACCCTTTCTGTGACGTTTGTTTTAGTTTCTCGCGAGTCGCTGCCCGGAAATTGCCAAGACTTGGTGATTAATTTGCCTCAGACCACGATACGGAAATCTTACCATGGAAATATCCCCGGCTAAACTATATATTTAAGGATGCATACGTAATAAATATTGTACTACTTTCATATTCTCATAACATTGTTGGACAATAAAATGGGGTTCTACTATGAAACTCGTTAGTTAGTCATTTTTAGGAATATTATTGTATCGGGATCTTCGCCAAAATAATAGTTAAGTCTTGACAGGCAGTGACACGCAAGAAATTAAAAAAGTTATTACAGGAGGAAACCAAATTGAAAGGTATAATTCATAGCAACCCTTGGGTTCATTTTTATATGTTTTTCTTAAAACATTTTGCAAGTTTTGAATTCTATTTGGTGATTGTAGTTAGTATGACAGATCAAGATAAGACACCCTTATTTTTATGTTATAGAACCTGTAGTGTGTCTACTAATACAATTGACTACAGTACAGAACCCGTTATCCGGAAATCGGAAAACCAAAAAACCGGAACGAAATTCGATAAATTTTTCTGCCATTTTTAAAAAAAAAAAAAGTTTTTTTCCTCTTTAGATTTTAGGATTTTCCTTTCTTTTTTGAAAGATGTTTACCTTACCATCATTTTGGAAATAATCATTAGTGTATTACTTCATCGTTTTTTCTTCTTTTCAAGATTATTTCCAACTATTTTTTTTTTTTTTTAAGTTGGGTTTAACAATAAAAAAAGGCATTTTGTATCGATTCAGAAAACCGGAAAAATCAGTTATCTGGAATAGCAATGGTCCCGATCGTTCCGGATAATCGGTTCCCTACTGTAGTATATAAGACATGTTAACTCGATTTTATGGTGGGGGTATCTTTTCATAGATGAAAATTGACATTGTTGATAAATATATCCCCACAAACCCGATGAAATATTTTTTTTCAAGTCCTGTTGGGAGATTTTCTTGTCGTGATCTGTGGCTGAATAATTGTCAAGTCTTGCAACTTTTAGGCTGAATTGTCAGAACATGGTTTAACTTTAAACCTGGTCTAAACAGCGAAGTTAAACCAATCTGCATTGCAGAAACGGAGTTTAAGGAAAAACGCGGTTCTAAAGATCTAGTTCAGCCTTGTCTAAGTTAAACCTAGTCAGTTTATAAAATCTTATGAAAGAATGCCTCTTTTGGATTTTCTGAATTGACAATTTACTATTTTGTAACTTTTGTTTTCTTGAAAATAAACATTGAGATAATTAAATATCTCACTTGCTGAATGGGTCTTTCTTTTTGAGTGATTTTGTATATTATATTCAACCACTCAGAAGATAGACCTTTTCGGAATAAATAAAACGTGAGTTATGCGAAATTACAAATTTAAGGATTAAATAGAGTAAAATTACTTTTTTTAAAATTAAAAATCATGAATGTTTGTATAGACCAATTACTGATCTTAAAATAGTGCTATTGTTAATAAAAAGTATTGGATTCTTTACATGTTGACAATAATTATTACTATTTAATTTGTTTGATAGTTTCAAACATTGATTAGATTTTTTTAAAGAGGGGAGTTTTATTTATTTATAGAATTTCTTATCTCTTAACATATGTTTTTTAGTAGCAGTCAACAGATTTTTCAAAGCACATACATTAATTTATCTTTTTTGATTTGTTTGCTACATTTTTCTAAAGTATTAAAAAAAACATCACTTAGAAGTCACTTTATGAATATTTCTAAATCAGAGAATAACAACTTCATGTCATGAATAAAAGTTACTGTGCATGTTATAATTCTCCTTTTTATAAATTTTAACTACATAAATGCTAGTAGCTGGAAGTTGAAAAAAACTGTGTTTTTAAAACTTAATTTAGAAAAAAAAATTTTCACAGCCACTTTTCACTTTATTTTGTTACTATTAATGAAGTTCTAGTGTGAATTGGAGAAAACATTTTTTATTTCAACTAAATTATAAGAAAAATATAAGCGAAAATTAATTTGTTAAAGACTACATATGTGCTTTTGTAACACTAAGTGCAGAGATATTTACTTGAATAGACTAACTTAGTAGAATTTTCTAAAATTTTTATTTGCATGTCTCTAGCGCAGCTCAAATAGACTAGATGAAAAGAACTTTTCATTACTGCAATATGAGATAGCAATAATTTTTAGTTCATGCCATACCAAAATATTTCTTTGAACTGCTTTATGAGCTATGTTAAATCACATTTTAATTTTTTATATTTAATTGACTGAAAGTCATTTAAGATGCTGAAAACTGGTTCGTCTTGGCTGCATTTAAATAATTTTTCTGTGTATATTGTCAATAACCAAATAACCAGGAGATAAACTTTTAATGGTATGGAAACGAATGATTCTTGCCCTGTAAGAGTGGCAGAAAGCAGTTGTCTCTTAAGGGAAAATAGACTATTAAATGAACTAACACAATTCAGGGATATTTCCTTAACATGATCTGTCGGGCCAACTAAAATGACTGAAGTACCAAATGAATTTAAAAATTGCTATTTTTTCTAGATTTTTGCAATTGAGCATGTGAACACCACAACATGATTCTTTGAAGAGAGCTTGTTTCAACTAAGTAGAATTTTATTGACTCCTTAATAAATGAAGACGTGTTCATGTTTTTATTATTCTACATTTTTGAGATATATATAAAGAAAAAACATGAGAAACAAACTTTGCGTATGAAGTCAATGATAAAAGACAACAGATATGTGACATTGGTTGGCTCAATAACTTCATTCCATGGAATTAAAATTAAACACCATAATATTTTTATTCATGTCGGTTTATGTTACAGTTAAAATATGATTCGTTCAAAATATTTTTTATAGATCAAATAATGCTTATGTTTTATTGTTTAATAATTGAAAACTATAAAGCAATTTAAAAAATAAAAAAAGTAATTTAAAAAAAAATCTGTGTTATATAGTATGTATATAATATATAACATCTTATATGTTATAAAAAATTACAGATATCAGCATGGTGATAAATTTAGTAGTAAATCAAGTTAGTAAGCCTGAGAAAAAGTTTACGAAGTTATTAAGCATGTGAGTAATAAAAAGTGGTGTTTGAAAAAAAAAAAAAAACTTATGAAGTTCACAAAAGCTTACTTCATTCATTTTTAAATGCATACAAATCATTTTCCTCCCTTATTAATAGTTTCCAATTATGCTTTTAAGTAAATTTTCTAGAATGTGCATGCCCTTGAATTGCAAGAATAAAATCTAATACAATAGAATTTTTCCTTAATACAAATTTAAACTTTTAAGCTCATTTTTTCATCTTTATTAGTCCCGCAGTGGACTGATCGTTAAGACACGGTTACCAGTTAAACACTGAAGTCAAGCACCTTTGGCTGCAGTCAATAAGTGGGTGAGTAACCACTTTGATCAGCCTGCATAGGGACTAAGGGTGTGCTGTACCGGTTCTCATAAAACTGTTTTACCATGAAGTGCTAAACTTTGCTTGCAGGACGTCGGGTTACCAAATCAGGGGAGCCATCCCCTCTGCAGATGATCAAAATTGCAATGGCATGTCTTCGGATCACCAAAGTAAATAAAAATAAAGCAACCTGACACAATACCTTTCACTGATTGGTGCCAAAGTTATGGTCCTACTAATCTAACTAGTAGTCAATACCATATATATCATGTACTGTGCTATATTATCAGTCACTAAAATGATCTAAGTGATCAAAAATTTATAAATAGGCAATACTTCCATATCGGAATATGTTTGTGTCAACAACAATTGCCAAAAGAAACAAAATTATCTTAAAAGAATATGCAGTTGTTTACTTGGGAGAGATTACGAGTTAGCCCTTAAATTTCATACTTTGTCATGATGGGTTTTTTTTCTTTCTCGTAAGCTGTTGCCTGGTTGTGGGCTGAAATTTGATAAAGGTACACAGGTAGCAATCTATAAATCTCTTATGCTATATCATGTACTGTGTTCTTTTATCAGTAACTAAAATGATCTATGTGAGCAAAAATTTATAAATAGGTAATACTTCCAAATTGTAATATGTTTGTATCAACAACAATTGCTAAAAGAATCAAAATTATCTTTAAAAAATATACAGTTGTTTACCGGGGAGAGATTACAAGTTAGCCCTTGAATTTCATACTCTTTCATGATGTTTTTTTCTTCTTTCTTTCTTGTAAGCTACTGCCTGGTTGTGGCTTAAAATATGATATAGGTACACAGGTACCAATCTATAAATCTTTTCTGCTAATGGACAAACATATTCTTTTTTAAATATTGATAAACCTGAGGTCTTTAACGAACAATGGTTGCATGAGTGACTTACAAAACATCATTGTAAAAAAGTTTATCTATACTTAATACTAAGTCTCATAATCAAGTATTAATGTTGCTTACACAAATAGAAATAATATATATATATATACTTATTGTATTGATATATATTATATTGAAATTATGCAGATTCCTTAATGTTGTGCATTCATAGGAAAGGCACATAAGAAAATTATTTATAAAGATATGTGATCAACAAATATACTAAAATAAGGTTCTAAGAATGTGTGTAAGTCCTATAAAAATTTTACTTTGTATATTTTTTGGAAAAAATTATTAGTAAATTTTCTTTAAAAAAATTTTTTTTAAGACCAATTTTATAAACAAGTTAATTTTATGTCTAGAATACCAACGTTGATTATATCTATATTACTTACCTTCAATTAATTGGTAACTGTAAAGTTCTAACAAAAATCATAGCAAAATCAATCATAATAAAATGTTCCAAACATGATAGAAAAATTATTTTTCACTCATTTTCATTTATATAGAATGAAAAGAAATCAGATTATTTTATAAAAACAAGCATACATATTATTATACATCAATTTTATTTATAAAGCACTTTTTTATTCAGATTTTTGTTTGCCATATAAAGTTTTTATTTAAAAATCCATTATTTCTTAAAATTTTCTTTCTGAAATAAGTCAGATAAGTATTATTTTATTTGCAATAGAATATAAACCAATGTTCATTGTTCAATATTTAAAATATAATGTTCTGCATGAGAACTTTTCTTACAAACACACAACAATATTTAACGAAACCGAATTCTATTTCATAAAAAATATTTCTTTTTTGATTAACTATGCAATGATTCAAACATAACTAACTTTATTTTCATTATGATCGTATCTACAAAATGTAAACAAAACATCAAGACTTTTCCAAGTAGTGACAGATACGATTCCTTCCACCTGATTGGGTGAATTTCTCAACCAGGCAAAATTTTGGTGCAAATACATCCGATAAGCTTGGTCTTGCTCCAGTCTCGTTAAACCTCGGCAAAACCACGTTCGAGCAACGAAAACTAGTTTTTCGTTTACACCGGGTTTACGTAAACCGCGGAACTGGGGTTTAAACTACCGAGTTTAGACTGCGTTCTGACAATTCAGCCTTAGTTTCAGCGGCCCGCAAAAAAAAAAAATCACAGAAATGGACCATCTTGAAGGGTATGACTCGTAGCCGCTAGGACTGGTCGATGTTGTTGAATTCTGTGCCAACTGAAACCAGTATTGAATTTTTAAAGTTTAAGCAATATCCTTGTATTTGGTATCATTTAAAAGGAAATTTGGCGTAATTTATGAATTCAAAAGTTAATTCAGAAGTTATTTATTATTAGAATTATAGTAAAATTTAACATAGAGAACATTCTGTTTGCTGTACTGCGTCCTATCCATAATTTATGCATAGGTAAAACACCATATATTGTGTGTGTATTTACTGTTCACGAAAATGTGAATGACTTAAAATTACACGGTTGTTTGCCTAATAATTACATAGAATTACTAAATATAGTGACTTGCGACAATTGCTCAGTTGATTTTTTATTTCATAACCGTCATCGAACAGCCGACTCAAATTTGAGTTTATGGCTACCAATGTTCAACTCTGTAGCCTTGTAACTTTGAACTGAATCCAAAAGACAAGGGAACTCCTCAATCAGTACCCACAGAGATTTATATTTGTTATGAGACCTTGGGGAACTTAGTGACCCGACATATTTAACATGCATCAGTCACCATTTAAAATGGGAGGACTCTTTTGATGTTGCTATAGATAGTTTTGCAAGTGTAAGAAGTTAATGGAACAAAATAGGGTAGTTAATTTTGTTGTCCAAATAACTGAAATTGAGAAAGAAACAAACAATGCTCATGTTGTTTCTTTTAACATGGTTTAATAAAATAAAAACTTTCAAATATAGCTACAAAGATGGTTCACATGTCAGGATATTATGTCAGTACTGCCATCTTCAATTTTAAATAACCGAGGAGTATCATTTGACAGTGATATTTCCCTTTGCGAAATTTCTAAGATGTTTTCTCTGTTACATTTCATGTCTTTCTGTCATTTCGACTTAATAAAAGTATGTTTGCAATTTTAAAAGTCTTTATAATATTTTATTTTAACTTAAGATGTGATAATTAAAAAGAAAAAAAAAACATTACCTGCAATGTTTAGAATTTTGACAGTGCATGTCAAAAATGTGGGATTTTATTTGTGTCTGTTGCAAATACTTTTAATTAACTTGTAATTTAATTATGAGGCTGTATTATTATTTTATGCCAATTAATTAATTACGCATTGCAACCTAAAGTAGCATATTCTTGTAGAATTTTTTGTTTTCTGAAATATTTAATATCTATTTTAGAATAAAATACTTGTGTGATAAATAGCTATTTATTCTAGAAAACTTGAGAACTGATATTCTCATTTAATTAAAAGGCTTTCTTTTCAGATTAATGGACACCATATTGTTTGGCGCAGCATGTCCTCATTTGGACCTTGCGCCACTAAACCCTACATTCAATCAATCAATTTCAGATTAATGGGATGTCTTTTGCTAAAATTTTGAAATGATAGTTTTTATATATCTTATCGAATTTTTATATTTTTTTACTCTATTACAAATTTATGAGTAATTACATTTAACTGTGAACTCTGAACCTATTGCATCAATACAACTTCCATAGCAGGGGTCTGAGGGACCGATCAAGAAAAATTCAGGCTCAAGGCCCACCTAATTTTCTGGGCCCCTTACAAAATATTTTGAAATTAAATTACTGAAGAGTAGTCCTAATAATGAAAAAGAATTTTTTGAACTGCAAGGTGACCTTCACAAATTCTATAAATCTTTGTCTTGATTTATACTTATAAATATTTAATTCTTACAACTACTCAGTATTAACCGAGTACAATGCTAAAACTTGTCTGAGTATGCTAATATTAAAAATCTGTTCTTTTATCTGGTACTTGATAAAATACTAATTAAAATGATATTGTGTGCATATTGTGTTGGTTTTTTAATTTTCACAAATTATTTCTTAATTTTCACAAAATAGATACCTTTTAAGAAGCACCTAGACAGACCCCTGCATAATTAAATTGTTATATCCTGTTCCTTTAACTGTAAACTAAATCAGTAACTTTCTGTTAAAGAGCATGACTGGAAACATTTTATATCAGTAATTTAGACAATTCAATGGGATCCCATTTAGGCAATTTTAATAGCACTTGTTATTTCTAGCCTTTGAAAGACATTTTATTTCATACATATATTTATTTCATGTATTGAAGTATATATTTGCTGTTTCCTCATCAAAATTATAGTATGGACATTATTTGTTCTAACATTATTTAACTTTTATGAAATCAACATTTTTCTCTATGATTATTTTATAAATTCAAAATCTCTATATTTTTTTTTCAGTGACGCTGAAAATCATGAATTTGGAAGTTATACGAGGCTTTTTAGACCAAACAAACCCTGCTGCAAGGATTCAGGTTTCATATTTAGATTTTTTTTAATCTAATTGTTTTTATTATTTAATTTTGTAGAAGCCCCTTTTAACTTGTTCAAAGTTTCTATCAAATAAATGAATTTTCATTGCAAAGTCTTCAAAACCTACCATAACCGGTCAAATGACCGTTTAAGAGTATCGAAAATGCATTTTATCGCACATTTGACTTTTTCTAGCAAATAATTAATATTCTATTTTTTTTTTCTTTCGAAATATATACTTGTCATATATGCCTATTTCTACCACAACCAGTCAACAATTTATTGATTAGATATGACGATGTAATGCTTTTTTAACGTATTGTATTAGATGAGTTGCACATTTCTGTAAAGAATTGTGTAGTTAGTTCAATCAGAGTAACTGTGAATTTCAAGAAAGTACCTAAAATTTTAGATTGGCATTTTTGTGTCAGAAAACTTGACAAAAACTGCTTATATTTTTATTTTGATTGCATTACTTCATTTCTAACTAACTGTTAGTTTTTACCCAGAATAATGTTGAAGCAATGAAGACTGCACAAGTTCTTAGAAGAAATAATTATAATTATAAGAATAATTATAATTCTTAAACCTTCTAATAGTTATAAGAATAATACTAAGAATTATAGAAATGATAATAATTAGAAGAAATATGTTTGCGAAAAATGTACAATAGAAACACCTTGTACAGTAAGAAATGCGTTAGGCAATGAGTTAAAAAATCTTATTCTTTATGTTTGTAATGCATAAAAATTGACATTATACAATTTTGTTTTAGTATAAGAATTTTTTTTTTAGTTTATATCCTTTCTAACATGCATATATTTCATACATTCAATCAAGAAGCATAAAGTCCGGTCATTTGACCCCCGTGGCTGAATCGTGGCGACCCGGCGACATTGTTTCACAATGCTACTGAGCTCTGGCATAAAGATTTTTCATTTGGGAAGTAAAATTTTTTTTTTTTCTGCAGAAATTTTGGAAAGTTTCTATCTTTTCTTCAGACTTATATTCAAAATTATATGCCATTCTTGCCCATCGGAGTGGGAAAAAAAAGGTTTGAAATTTTTCTATTTTCATTTGAGAATAGTGAAGTAAAAAGTTTGGTTTTCTGTAGAAGTATGCGTTCTATTTTTTTTTGGCAATTATTGCTATTGATTTACACATAGTGTTTAAAATGTGATATTTTTAATCTAATAATATTTTTTACAACAGCTGAATCTTGAAACACTGCATTTGTAACCCCCCTTTTTAAAGAGTTCAATTTGGCGTGATTTCGCCATCAACCTTTTTTTTTTTGTTGTTAGTTACTGCTATGCTTCACTGTTTTTAATTGTTTTTAAATTTGATGATGACTTATAAAGAAAGAAAGAAGAAATAATTAGTGTGTTTTTTGAAAATGAATATTTCTTAAAATAAGAATTTCCCCCCCTCATTATTATGAAATATTTTATACTTAATGTCTAAAATTGCAAGAAAAGAAAAAAAAGAAAACATCGATTCAGGGTTTGCTCTGATGAAGAGTATTTTGTCCTTATTTTTAACTTACACTTCAGTAGAGGCACTTTTTTGTTTACTTTTTGTAAAAGTAGTCCCAAAAAATGTCCTGATTGTTTTTGTAGGAGGATGTCTTTTAGTCTGATTGATATTAAAAAGAGATTTAACTACCCACCTCCTGAACAAATATCTAGAATTTAATTAATTGAATTTTAGATGTGAAATTCAAAGAATGAAATTCAATATAACACTGCTAAAAAACCTAAATGAAATTCATTAATGCTAAAAAATCTTTCGAATTTTTATTAGAAATTAACACTTTTAAGTTGAATAGTTTTTTGCTTTTAAAGCTTTTTACCATTCTTTTTGTGATAAAATTTTATAAAACGTTATATTTACATTTCAGATAATTAGTTTATAAACATTATTGTATTATACTTCATATTATTTTAATATAGACAAGAATATATATTGTGATATTTATTTCCATTTTGTTTTTTCAGCAACAATAGTTAGGTATAGAAATTGGAAGAAATTTTTTTTCATAAATGAAAATCGTTAGTTTCACCTCAAGCAAAACTTCCTTTTGAGGAATTTCTTTTTTGATGATTCCAGTAAAAACTGTTTAATACAATTCATAGTTCAAACACAGGTCGTATTTGCTGGCATTGATCATTAATGACACCTGTGGCAGAATTTTTTTGAGCTATCTGCGCTCTCTAGCACTAATATCTTTCTGCAAGATACTTTTAATAATAACAAGCATAAATGTTACTCATTTAAAATAACGAAAGGGCTCTGTTTACGAAAGAAATAACTTTGTAATTTTTTTAATTGAACGTGTAATAATTTTTTATTCTAATATTATGGGTGATATTCTCGCATTTAATGGGGGGGGGGAGGGAGAGTGCACAAATTATTTCCTTCTTCACATTTCGTAAATAATCATTACAATAAAAAAAATCCTGAAATCCGTAGTAGTAATTGCTGAAAAAAAGATTGACTCTTCAAACGCATGTTTTGTTTCGAGATTAGGATGTTATAAATAATATCGTATAAAAAAAATCAGATTTAAAAACTATGGAGAAATGAATAGCAATAACTGCCAAAAATTCCATAGAATTATTGCCTTAAAAAGTAAATACTCAAATGCACGATTCGAATTTTCCATATTGTTTAAAATACATCGGGGCATTTATAATCCATGGGAAAATCAATATCAATAACTGCCAAAAACAGTGGTATTGGCGTAAATTGAGCTCGTCAAATTTTTTTTAATCTAAATGCATGATTCAAATATTACATGCAAATTTCGTAGAAAAAAAAGTTATCAATATATGTTTTTTGCTCTTCAAAAAAAAAAAAAAAAAATCTTTCTGCAAGAATTCTAACGTTCTGTAACAATGTTGACGTGTCGCTGCGTTTCTGCCACGGGGCTAGTAAGTGACTAAGTTCATACTTCATACAAAGTTCACAGTTAGTGGATATTTGCTAGATACAGTTCTTGAACTTATTGTGATATAATTTTTATGAACATAGTAAATAAGTAGAAATCACTTTAATTTTGAATAATGCATTAAATTTGTCAGCCACGAGAAATGAAATAATTTGTAGAAAGAGTTTATTCTATGATTCTAATAACTGATGAAATGTCTATCGAAGTAGGATAAATCCTTGAAATTTCTTCTAATTCACAAAAGGCTACAAAGGGAAAGGGATGAACGGGTATCTTTAAGGAATCAGAACTTATAGATTGCATGAACACGTACAATGACCCCTGTGTTTAGATTTTTCCTTCCCCCCCCCAGCATTCTGGAAGAAATCTCAATCCTTCATAACCCCTGTGGTAGAATCGTGGTGCCATTGTCGCAGAATGTTGCCGAGTTCTTGCTGAAAGATTTTTCCTTCCGGTAGTAAAAAATTTAGCTTTTCTTTTCTGCAGAAATTTCTGAAAGATTTTATCGTTTCTTCAGAATTATATTCAAAAGATGCTTTTATTGCTCATCGGGGTGGGAAAAAAATGCTTGATTTTTCTATTCTCATTTAAGAGCAATAATGATGTAAAAAATTTTGTTTTCTTTTCTGTAGAAATTTTCATTCTATTTTGTCATGCAGTTATTACTACTGATTTCAACATAGGTTTTAATATCTGATATTTTTAATACAATATTATTTATTGCAACAGCTGAATCTCGAAAATGAAGACACACATTTAGCTACGCCTTTTGAGTTGTCCGATTCTCGTGATTTTGCCCTCTCAATCTTTTTTTTCGGTAGTTACTGTTACGGATTTCATGATTATTTTTTTAATGTAATGATGAATTACAAAATGCGAAAAGGAAATAATTAGTGTGTTATTTTCCTACAAAATGTGAGAATATCGCCCCTAATATTAGAATAAAAAAAAAATTACATATTCAATTAAAAAAATTATTTTATTTGAACCGATTTTTTTTGTTGAAGTTAACGCTTGTGTTACTTTAAATTTGTAACATGTATTGTTTTTTTTTAAGCATCTTGCAGAAAGATATTAGTATTAGAGAGGTATGTTGTAGGGTTCACGGCACTAACATAACACTCAGCTCTTCAATTGTCAATGATCTTAACCAATATTAAAGTGTCAATGTTTTTAAACACTTGTTAACTATATATGAATCTTAATACTAATATTATTTTTATCAGGCTATCCAATACTTTGAGCAACTGAAAGATTCAGAAGATGGATGGAAGTTGTGTATCAATTTCTTGACTAGTGATAACAAGCAGTAAGGACTTATTATCAATTTTTAGAAGGACTTTGAACCAAAAATTGTCTTTAATTTCTAACCTCTTCCCTTAACAATTTTTTCGAAAAAAAAAGCAAAAAATCAGCATATTTTTTTATTTTATTAATAAATACAAGGACCATACGATTGGGGAGTTGAATGTGTTTTTATTTAAAATTGCATTTTATATTACTACATAATAGCTGCAAAAATATATAATAAAAAAAAATTTTGTCCAAAAAATTGAAATTGTGTAAAAACATTAAAAGAAAAGAACTAACTACTACAGGTCTCTCTCACGCAGACTCGTAGATTTAACCGCTTCCCTTAACCAATTTCTTTGAAAACAAAATGCAAAATATCAACGTATTTTTTTATTTCATTCATAAATACAAGGAACTAAAACAAAACATAATACACAAGTTCTAAGTTGACATCTTAATTTTTTTTTTACGTGTAAAAAATATTTAATGTACAATCAGTTTACTAAACCGAGTCATCTCGGGCAAATGAAAAAAAGTTAAATATTAATCTTTGTATGATAGTTTTTAAAACAAGGGTCAGCAAAAATGAATAATTTCCAAATGCCAGTGAAGTGATATGCCATTTTGTTTGCCATTTTAAATTTGCTATGTAAATTCAGCAACCATCATGTATACAATCACGTAAAACATGTTCCACAATATAACTTCAAAACTCCCTAACAAAACTGCATAATATTATTTTCTTCCCCTTTCATACATGAAAAAACAAAATGTACTGACAAATTCTGCTTCTCGGGATCATAAATATTTGCAATATACCTGTGTTAACTCGCTATATATAATCAGGGAAGCGGTTGAATATAGAAAAATCAAGTTCACAAAATTTCAAATGTTAGAAGTTTTCAAAATGTCAAATTTCTACTGAATAATTCGGTCATAATTATTATTATTTTTTTTTTGCATTTTGATATTTTGAAAAAAAAATTTTTTTCCAACAATTTTAACTTCATGGTTTAGATTACTCTAGGTTTTAAGCTACCAATTTTTCTGAAACAAAATTGCCATGAAGCAGTGTTTTCACTACAGCGCGAGAATGCGAGAATCTCGCATATATTTTTTTCTCGCAATAAGAAATTATTAACGTGAGAAGTTCGCGCTCTCTATAAATCAATTTCAAAATGCACGAATTTTGGGAAAAATTTAGTCTTTTGCCATTTTGAATAAAATCCGTTTCACTTTTCTTCCTTGATCTTTCATTATTTTGAGCATCGGTCCTTGTTATCTAGCTTCACTATTTATCTGTATTGTTCAGAACCGGTGCGAACAGCAGAACACAACCCCTCTGAACTGCGGAACCCCTTTCAGAACACATTTCTCTGCAACCACGTGTTCACCGTAGGTAAGGTTTCTTCATGTAAGACGTTTACATTTTTTGTGCATGAATTAAGATGGACAAATAGCTTGTTAAGGCGACATCCTCTACTCCGTAATGGACAAATGAAAATGAAACAAATGTCAGTAGAAACGGTCAAAACGAAACAAATACGGATATTTTTCAGCCAAATAAATATAATAGCCGATGAAGAAGTAGATATAGAACATTTTCCATATGATGATGCAGCAAAAATATTCAATTAGAAGATGTGAAAAATGTATTTTAATTAAGGAAATAATTTTTTTCCAAGTCTATTCGTGTTTTTTTTTAATTTTTAGAAATCTCACTTAACGTTTTGAAATTTCACCCTGTTTTTGAGAAAGGGCGAGAAATTCTCTCTCATTTTTTTTCTGTAATGAATACACTGCTTGAAGCTTTTCTCTGACTGTATAGCGTCCTTTTAAATGTTCTCAAATGTTCTGACTAGAAAAGTCTCCTAATTTCATGAAATTATTTATACTTTCACTCATTTTTTATTTATTCTATTTATTAACAATAGCATGTTACTATTGAAATTGCGAAATTTCAGTATGTTAAGCCATAGGCTCTCATAATATTAGTTTTGTGTACAAGTGTTTTATGGCTTTGAACAATGTTGTTTGTTGTAGGGTTATCAAGTTTTTATTCTGTCATATGTCAGTTTTTTCAGTTTTAGCCATTGTTTTCTCACCTTAATAATTACTGCAAATTATCTAAATAACATTTATTTAAATTCAAATATTAATTTTCTTATGTGTATCAACATATTTTTAAAAGAACATTTCTGTAGAAAAAAATGTCTTTTTATTTTATATTTCTAATGGCAAAGGAAAATGACCGACTCTTATAAGATCAGAGACGATTGTGCTCCGTAAAAAAATCCGGATTTTTCGTTAACAGCGATCCCGAGTTTTCTGGAGCTCCAAGATTGTTTCCGCTGTTGATTTTTTTATTAAATTGTTTATTTATACTATTACTAGTGTGTGCAAAGGTATGACTGCGTCTCGTGAATATTGAATCAAACCTAAAATTTATTTGTAAATGAAGCACACTTCATTCAATTAATCATTTTTTTTATTATTATTTCTTTCTTTCTTTCTTTATTTATTATTTTGTTCAACTATTCTTCCTAATTGATGCTAAATAGGATAATTTTAATAGGAAACTTTTTTCTTCATTTTGAATTTTTTTTACTCGTCAACTGAACATCGTGAGGTTTTTATTTCGTTACTATCACAAGTGCTACAATAATGGATGACAAGTGCGGTCATAAGAATGATGTAATTAAATCCATAAATTTAAGTGCGAAACTTTTTTTTCATTTAATACTGTTAAATTTTATTTATAATTAATACTGTTAAATTATTATTATTAAAATACTGTTAAATTATTATTATTAAAATACTGTTAAATTTTATTATTTGTAAATAGAATTAAATAAATTGGATAAATTAAGATAATATAGTAACTTTAATAGTAACTCCTTTATTTAATGATATTTTTCAAATGAGGTTTTTGATTCCACTTTATGTTGTACTTTCCATATATTTAAATGCAAAATTTCTTACTTCGTCCAGTTTTGGTCACTGGTCTGATTTTATTGAAATAAAATATCATATTGTAAGTGGTCTAAATATAGTCATCAATCTGACAAAAATGAAGAAGTTAATATAAATAAACAACACAAATCTGATATAAATCTGTTATAAATAAAGGCTAGTAGCATTTCATTCAAGTCAAAATCGGCCCTAGAATTGGACACAGATTAACTGAAGTGGATCTAGTTGTGATAATGAAATGGATCCAAGCAATTTTTTTTTACTAGACTATATAAAATTTTGTGTTTATAAATTTATTAATTTTTATTTTTTTATTTTCTAGACAAGATACTGTTAAGTTTTTTTGCTTTCAAGTCATATCACATTATGTTAAATACAAGTAAGTTTCTTACATTTCTTTCTATATATTTATATTTTATTTATGTTGACTCATTCTTTTAAAGTAATCATCATTTGTCATCATCTCTGAATATTTAGTTAAATTAGAATTTTACTGCAGAATCATATGAAGAATCAGCCTAGAAAAAAAAGAAAACAAAAGAGTCCCTCTTGTCATTTTTGCTGAACAACCATTTCACAGTAGTGGAGTGCAAAAATTATGAAATACTGTGTTGTTGAGTGGCAACTATGTATAATGTCTGAATTTTATCTCTGATTTTCTTTTCTAAAAAGGTTGATAACTATTTAATATGTTTTATTCAATTTATAAATTATTATTTTTAATTTAAAATAATTACTCCAAAAAAATTAAATTTTTAAAAACAGAAAAATCAGTAGCTATTTATTTTAAAAAATTTTTTCGTTTAAAATATGTATGGATTGTTTTTTTTTTTAAAAAAATACAAAATTTTTGGTATACCAAATTTTTTAGTTTAATTTAGTAAATTTGAAAGACTTTTTTTGAAAGACAAAATTTTAATCAAATTTTAAAATTAAACTTTTTTATCCATGTATTTTAATTAAAAAATAAATACATATTATTTTTAATTTAAGACAGTTATTCTATAAAAGAAAATAAATAAATAAAAAAAAAATGAATAGATATTTATTAATTGTTTTTAATTTTTTACTTAAAATATGTATGGATTGTTTTTTTTTTTAAAAGAAGTACAAAGTTATTTAGTGTACCAAATTTTTTAATTTAGTAAATTTTAAAGACAAAATTTTAATTAAATATTACAATTAAATTTTTTGTTTTATGCATATATTTTAATTAAAAAATAAATGCATGTAAGGTTTTTTTAAAAAAAAATAATTTAAATTAAAAAATAATTTATAAATTGAATAAATTCTAAATTGAATAATTTATAATTGGATTTTAAGAAAATTGGCTTAATTTTTCAAAATTAAAGATTCCTCCCAAATGGTTTTTGTTACAAAACCCAGAAAAAGTCAATGTTTGTTTTTTCCTTTAAGAGAATGCTAAAATACTTTTTCACTCATTTAAAATTGAAAGTTTAGAGAAAAGCGGTAGAATTAGCCATGAAGTTTCAATTGCTGAATGTCAAAATGCAAACAAATTGCAATATTATAGTAAACCTTCAAGGGACCGAAATTTTGGTTCACTATATCCGTACTGCAAACAATTTTAACTCATTTTTTCGAACAGCTACATTTTGTCTTCACATTATTTAAATAAATGACCCATGAAAAGAAATACAAAAATGACTGAAAAATAATAGGTTGCTACAAAAATGTTTAAACTTTTATTTTTTATGACTCTTCGTCTTGCATACAAAAAATTTAAGGATGGCTTTTATTTAGGAATGGGAAACCGAGATAGAAGAAGCAAACAAGAAAGAAAAAATACTTACGGCTACATTCCATTCAATAGATGGTTTTAAAAATCGGTACATGTATTTTAAGTAATTTCAAAATTACTAAAAAATGAAGCAATCAGTCAAAGACAGAAAAAAGTATCCAATTTCCTTTCTTCTTTAGATTCACTCTATCCACAAAAATAGTATTATATGTGTATAGCAAGGCACGAACATTTCGTTCACTATATTCGGGGGTTCACAACCAACCATGTTCACTATAGCAGGGTTTGACTGTATAACGATTATGCTATTGGGAAGCTCTTTCATTTTGTTATTTTGAATGCCTTTTTTTGAAAAGCATTTTAAAATTTGCTTGAATTCATTTTTCTCTGAACTTCTAATGTTTAAATTATCAATGAAATATTAAGTGTTCTCCCTTGCATCATCTTGAAAAAAAATAACAGGAATTAATCCTTCTAAACCTTGTATGGTGTGTAGGCGTCTTTAAAAAGTGTTTATTTTCAAAAATTCGATTTTTTTTTTCTTTACCAGGTCGATTTTTGCCACGTATTATGCAAAAACGTGCTTTTCACATTCAACGTTTTCACAATTCATTTTGGCATACTGTCGGTCCATAGTGTATGAAAGCTCCAATCATTTCACATGTTTGATGAAATATACTGAGCTGGGTCGGTGAAATTATTGCACTCTCATGCAAAATATTCTCAATTTGTCAGGTCTTATTTTCCACCCTCTGATATCAAACCGAAATATCTCTCGATCTTTTTATATTGGCTAATATAATCAAGAAAAGAGTTGTCAGAAACTAGTTATTTTATCATGATCATGTAAAGTCTTTCAAAATTATTTTGTATTTTGTTAATGCATATAGTGCTTAAAAATATTCTTTGAGTTTCTTAAAAAGTACTTAAAAGGTGCTTACTTTTTGTTGAAAATTCTGACAACGCATCCTGCCTTGGAATAAAGTTAAAAACAGGATACTTCTTTTCTTTCAGATATTCTTATGCAGAGACAGGACAACAGCAAATCATAAGAGAGTTTCTGAAGCATTGGATTCAGCTACAGGTATCATTTAAATTTGTAAAAAAAGAAAGATAAATATTTAGTTCATTTACTGATCCTTTAAATCCAGTGGCGTAGTTAAGGGGGACAAAACCCCCTCCGACATTCTACATTACTGAATCAATGATCTATTGTATGGCATGGAGGATGCAGACATAAAAAAGTTTTCACTATTCACTTTTTGTAATTTAAATAGTAAATATATATATATATATTCAGATATATATATNTATGTTACCGTTAAAGTAAAATGTGAAATACGTTGTTTCATAGAATAACTAGATGATTCATGGAACTAATTGGACAAATCAATTTTTATTTTAATTTTATTACTGTTGTTGAACAGCCGACCCAATTTTTGGGTTTATGACTTCTAATGTTCAACTGCGTAGCCTTGTAATTTTGAACCCAATCCAGAAGACAGGGGAACTCCTGGATCAAGTATTGGGAGAAATTTTGCCTTCGTGAAGGATTTTTTGATGGAACTAACCCGCATTTGCATTGCATGGAGAGAAAGATCACGAGAACCTTCCACGGTTAGTCTAATGGCAAAGGGATCCATTGAGATGTGGATTCGTATCGACCAGCCATTGGTGTTATTTGAACCCGGTTCACATCATTGAACCGTGTTCAACGTTTAGCAGGAAGTTGTATCCCCTGAGCCATCAGGGCTCATACAAATCAATTAAAATATATAAAATTATTGAATTATACTATTTAAGTAAGTATTCTATAGAATAACTTGATCTATTAAAGTATAAAACTCGAAAGCACTTCAAACCAGTCTGTTTTGAACTGCTTATAGCTACTTTGTAGTGACGTGTGTGCTTTTTGTCATAGTCGTTAATCATGAGCAATAATAAATCTGCTTTTCCTTATTATTCATCAATTAATTATCCACAGTAGGGATGTATTTTTCAGAGATTAAGGTTTATTTTTAATTATTTTTTTCTTAAAATAACTACTGTAATAACTAGGAAAAGTATGAAAATTTTCTTACTCTAACTGACTTGTCTAGTTACTTCGAAAAATACCTAGTTATCCTATGAAATACCTGAATTGTACACTTTAACGGTAACATGTGTATCAAAAGGGGATAACTACCCTCGAACATACATTAAAACTACCCCACTGTTTAAACCAGTGACTAAATTTCCTTAATTTCTTCTCCTGTTATGTGTATTAAATGCAGCAGTAAATGCCATTTTTTGTGAAAATACAATTTATTTAATGTTTTGACTTTAAAATATTCCCTCTTTAACAGTATGTGTCACAATATTTTGTCTGAAGGAAACTACTATATTGCATTTTCCTGTCTAAGATACTGTTTTTTATAAAGTAAAATATGTTGAAAATTTGAGTCATCACTTCTTAATGCATTCAATTTGCTCAGATTCCATTGTAAGTTTATTTTGTTTCTCCATAGCCTTTTCAACGGTTTTTGTTAAAAAACTCCGCTTAATTTTAAAAAACCCTATTTTTAGTACGATATTATGATGCGTGAATTTCAAATTTGAGTTATCACTTTTCGCAATACATATATACTAGGAGGCTTCGCCCCCTGCTAGCTGGCGCTCGCCAACCCTCGGAACTGCTTTCGCAGTTCATTTCGGATTGCTTCGCAATCCGATGCTCGCTTTACTCGCTCATTGGATACGTTCTTAACGTCTAGCTTTTGTATACTTTTTTGAACACTGAAGTTCCGAAAACTTTTCACTGTAGAAAATTCTAAACCTGTGCATTTCAATATTAATTTGAAATTCCAAACAGTTCACATATTTTTCTTAATTATATCTCTTATATATTTTTATCTTTCTTATATCTTATATATTATATCTTATATTATTTTTCATAATATCTTTTCTTTCGTTTTATATAATATAGATTCAAAATAATTCAAAATAAAATAGCAATATCATAACACTTCTCATTTCTGCCAATGAAAAGGAACTATTTCAGTACTCATAACCAACCAAAAATGAAGTAATCATAGTAAAGGATTTATTTTAAAAGCATATTGAACTTAAAAAGGCAAACATATCGCACTTTCACAAAGTAACAGAAATGCGAAATAATCGATTTCAACAGAAGTTTAAGTACTCTTGTACAATGCATGACATCATGATCCACGCATGAATGACCGACAGCAAATGAAAATGAGCACTGGTAGACCGTGACGTCGCCGGCGTAAGTTGAAGGTATGTGAACATTAGGTCATCATATGCAGGGCTGAAGAAGATCTTTACTTTATTTTATATTTCAATCGATCAAATTAGAAAAATCCCTTTTCGCTCTTATTTATCTCACAGAAATTGGCAAAAAAAAAAAATGCGTCATAAATTGATTATTTGAATGTGAGATTTGATCGAGTGTCTTCATAATATTGTAAAAATGCAGGATTATCAAAATCACATGGAAAAGCTTAGCAATACCTGCTTTTAGAAATAAAAAAGATGATATACGATAAAATCTCACGAGTTGTAATGTGATAAGTGTATCAGGATTTGAAAATCCCATGTGGAAATTAGTAGCTATAAATGTTTTAAATAAAGAGCATTAAACGTCACCTAGAGTTACAAGGAAATCTTCAAAATAAAGCGAAAAGTAGTCACTCAATTTCGTGTGTTGTAATATCGTATTAAAAATATTAGTTTTCTCTTTAAAAAAATCATACACTAGAATTTCTGAAAATTGAGAGTGCATTGACACAAATATGTGATTCAAAGTTTTCAACAATTTTTTATTAAAAAAAAAACAACATAAACAAATTCATTGTGTTCAAAAGCTTTTGCAGGTCATACCAGGGTTGCATGTGGTCTACAGGCCACAGGCTGTACATCCTTAAATATATATATGTATATAAATAAATTGCAATTTTAGTATCTAGAGCGTTTGCCTTCCAATGAGGTGAACCAGGTTCCAGTCCTAAAGATAGCAGGTCAATATGAATTCCACATCCTACTTGCACCAACCACAATGATGATGTAAAATATCCTCAGTGGTAGATGGATCATGGGTTAGAGTCCCCTTGTTGCTAGGCTAACCGTGGGAGGTTTTCATGATTTTCTTCCATGTGACCCAAATGCGGGTTAGTTCTATCGAAAAGTCCTCCACGAAGGTAAATTTAGGTCACTACTCAATCGAGGAGTTCTCTTGTCTTCTGGATAGGATTCAAAATGACAGACTACGGACATGGGTGCAAGTCTTCCATCCCCAGGACGGATTTCCGTCTTTCGAAAATGTCCGCGGACGGAAGTAAGACGGAAACAAGACTGACTCGATGACGGAAATCGGAAATTTTTTTTCTGTCCCTAAAAATATTTTTTAGTTCTACGTTATTGGTCTACTTTCTTATGTCCTGTTGTTATTTTATCAAAAGACAGATAAATAAATATTTTTTGTACAGTATTTAAACTTGATGTATTATGGTAAAGCTTTCTTAGATAGTTTGCATATGTCGAGGGGGTATTGTATATGTTAGGCATTTCAGTCAAAAAATTTTCAGTCTTGGCCTTTTTTCCAACTTGCACCCATGGCTACGGAGCATCGGTAGTTGTAAACTCGAAAATTGGGTTGGCTGTTCAACAACGATTATAAAATAAAATCTTAAGAATATGAATTAAAAATTGGTTTATTTAAATAAATAAATAATTATTTTAAAAATTANTCAAAATGACAGGCTACGGAGCATCGGTAGTCGTAAACTCGAAAATTGGGTTGGCTGTTCAACAACGATTATAAAATAAAATCTTAAGAATATGAATTAAAAATTGGTTTATTTAAATAAATAAATAATTATTTTAAAAATTAGATTTAAATTATAATTGCTTGAAGTGGATTCATAAATATTAATGAAATAATTCATTTCAGTGCTCATCACCACAGCCGGACTCAGGCCTCATTCTGAATAAAGCTGCTCAGATTATTTGTATTGTGTTTCTAGCTGATTATCCAACTCGCTGGCCATTATTTTTTGATGATATATTAGGCATGCTAAATCTTGGAATGACTGCTATAGATATTTATCTCCGCATCTTGTTAGACATCAACTCTGAAATTGCAGATAGAGAAATACCCCGCACTCAAAAGGTACAAATTGTTTTTTTTTTTTTTTTTAGATNCACTGAACTTTTCGTTCTTCGCCATAGAAGATGCCGGAATTGTTACTCATTTAGCGTTACCCAGTGGGCACCTGTGAACCAAAGTCACTGAGGCGAGCAACGTTACCCACGCCATACTGCTACAAACCCGTTCATAGGGTGGGACACATTCACACAACAGAAGACAACACCGAGAGAGAAACATCCATGCCCAGAGCGGGATTCGAACCCGCAGTCTAACCACTCGGCCGGCAAGGTACAAATTGTAACATTAAGTATGTCTATTTTATCGTCCCTTATCAGTCGAAATACTTGGCATAGGATTTTAATACAGTTACCTTCAAGGGACTTTCAGTTCTCTATAACTTCACTATATCCGTTTTGCAAACAATTTTAACTAATGGTTCCAAACTCCCCCCGACACATTATTTAAATAAATCACCCATAAAATGAAATACAAAAATGGTGAAAAGTAACTATTTTGGCCATATGTGTAGTATTCTAGTTAAAAATCTTTTTACTTTACATTGTAAACCATATTGATGTATTTTCTTACCACTATCCCCCCCTCGTAAATCAATCTTTCGTTTCATTCAATTGATTTCAAATATGGGATTTCATTCTCAATAAAAACAAAAAATGTGAATCTAAGCTTCTACCTCGTAATCAATCTGACAGATTTGAGAAGTATTTTTTGTTGTTGTCTGCAGTCACACTTAGTCTCTTTACATCAATACACACAGGGCTGGATTACCAATTAGGCCAGACTAGGCCATGGCCCCCAATGATTAGCGGCCCCCTTGAAATGGATTTTTTGAAAATAAATGTAAAAAAATTAAGAAAAACAATGTTTTTTAAAATTTTTTCAAAATGTTATGATTATTTTTTGGTTCTAATGTAACAAAATAAAGCAAAATTTAATTTATTATTTATTTTAAATATGCTTTCTTAAATGAAATGAAATACTTTTATATTTGAATAAATAAAATCTGAGGGCCCCAAAAATTTGAATAGCCCCGCGTACGCTTAATCCGGCCCTGAATACACTTTCAGGAATCGGGATTGGTTTTTCTACCGGACGGAAAGTGTTGTTTCTCGACATTCAATTTACAAACTAGTACATGTATTATCAACTTATGGTGACCTCACGGGATTTCTCTGAACGTCTTGTTAAAATTAACACTATTATAAAATTAAACATACCAACACTTAATATAATACTTATTTCTAAAATAGCCTATCAAATAACTGGACTTTGTTTCTTCATTGAATGTGTGAAATATGGATGTTAGGAAGGAAATAAACTGAAAAAAATACTTTATTATAATTAAACAAAATTGTATATTCACAATTTTTATGTATTACAAACACAAAAAATAAGAATTTTTAATTCACTTCTCAACACATTTTTTACATGTATAGGAGGTTTCCATTGTACATTTTCTGCCAACGCATTTTTTTCTAATTATTATTTCTATAATTCTTGTAATTATAAGAATATATAAAAATTATAATTCTTATAAGAATATATAAGAATTATAATTTTTATAATTATTCTTATCAGGGTTCATTCCAGGCGGGGTTTGGGGGGCGCACCGCCCCGTATGCCCTTTTGATGAGAAATTTCCGCCCTGTTGCCCTTTACTCCTTTTATCCCGCCCTAATATAATAAAATGCGCCTTTGTGTGTCCCCTCCAAAACGATACTACCTTCCTGCAAGAAATAATTATTTTGTTCTGTCCCCCTACTTAGTGATACTTTTCTTGAAATCAACTTGTCTTCCGTCTAGCTCAATAGCTATGGGTAAATGAAAATCCGAAATGCTCTCCCTCCCCCCTCTTTACTATTTCCTTTTGAAGTTAGTAATTTAAATAAGAGATCTTCCAAGAAGTTCCTCCTGTCAGGGAATGCTCCCTGCAGCTGTGTGGGTTCCTATTTTCTCCTTTTAGAAAAATTTATTTTTCGTAGAAATGGACGTACAGTGCCCGCTGGTTATTAAAATCACTTTCGTTTTATGCTCTTTTGATTTTATTAAGCAGCTAATTTTATTAAGAGGCAATTCAACGTTTGAAGAAAAAAAAATCACATTTTTACGATAAATTTTAAATGCACACACTTTAAAAGCTGAAATAATGACAACATTAATGCTTTATTTTAACTAATTTAATTATTTTAATAAAGTAAAACCCTACATAAGATTAAATTTACAAAAGTTATGCAAAAAACTGATCAATGGTTGCTTGAGTTGCAGTATTTAAAATTAACTTTTCAACATCATTTGAGAGTTTATAGCAGTTTTTATAGTTTTCGATATTCCTCCTCTTTGTTCTAAAGCTTGCCGCAATACATTGAGTGCTTTTCTGACTTCCATTGAAGATGGCACTGATGAGTTAATTTCATCTTCTGAGTCTGATTCCTCCATTTCTTGATTGGAAATAACTTTGCAATTTTTGATGTCTGTAGCAATTTCAGAATCAGATTTTTCTCCTGATGTTTGCAGGTTATCGTCAATAGCTACGTAACGTGAAAAATTCTTGTCCATTTAATTTTCTTCATTGCTGAGCATTTCTTCGAAACAGTTATCAGCCCCATCTCCATCTCCATTGAAGCTTCATGTTGACTACGTTTAGGAAGCTTATCATAGTTTTGCAACACTTCGAATTTATCTTTAAGACTCAAATCCTTCCTTTTTGGCATGCTGATAAAATTTAACACCAAACGAACTTAAAATGATATGTGCTCTAACTCTAACTATAATTTACTCAAACATCTTAAATAATATGGAACATGCGCACAGTCAGTTTTTGGAACTCTATTCATGTTCTCTGTTAGGATAGATAACAAAAGAAACTTCTCTCCCTTCTATGGTTCATTCAATAAAAAGTAAGATAAGAATTCGATACCCTGTTGAGTGAGGTAGGTTTCTCCAAACTTCATTCAAGTCAAGGAAGTAACATTGATAAATTGATTTCTATGAACTCGCCGCATACATTTTTCCTTAACTCTTACACTATGTATATCGCAGGAAAGTGGTAACCACACCTGTTTCACAGGTTTGTGAGTAACTGTTGCTTCTTCTAAAAAAATCTTTAAACTTTGAAAAAATAAAAAATTATAAATAAGAACATAAAAAGCTGAAATATTGCACTTTTGATTTATTATGTAGTCAAAATTTTGATTTTAAAAAGCGGCAGCATTCATTTTATTAAAGGATGTTTTTAACATGTATTAATATTGTAATGATTCGGTTCTTGCCGATTTGATTTTATAAAGTGGCTGATTATAAAGTGGCACTGTATTGCTTATTTTAAGAAACCATACTGCAATGGTGACGGACAGTAGGCCTGCCAAGTGTTTTCTTGGAAAGAATTTTTTAAAGGAAGAAATCTCGTTTACAAAGCCTGAAGACAATTTTAGGGGTCAGACTAGATCATTGAAAAAAGTGATACATTCTCATGTAGTATCTTCTGGAGCCCTCCACCCCCCTTTGCTCAGCTTTATTCTTATGAAGGAAGAAAGAAATTTTTACTTTCCATTTCAAAAGTGGAGGGACTTAGACAATTAATTATGAAATAAAAAAGCTTTTTTATACAAAAAAGAAAAAAAAAATATTAATTTTAAAATAAACTTTTTTTTTTACAATGACACAATTCTTAGGATAATAAATTTCAAGTTATGATTCATTACAAGTTATTTTAAAAATTTATATTGGCAAACCATAATTTATATTTCTTTTTTTAAATTTTTTTTATTTATCTTTGATATTTTTTGGGGAAGATTTTCTCATTCTTTGTTGGCACGCTGCCAGGAGTATCAACAGATCCGTCTTTATTTATTATTATTTTTTTTTTACTCTTTAAAATATCGCTTAGCACTTTCTCGTTTTGATTAAAATTTGTTTCAGCAGGTGATTTTTTTTATTAATTTGTTTATTACACTTATACAAGTGTGAGCAAAGCAGGGGCAGACTAAAGCCTAGGCACGCGCCTAGGGCCCGAAAATTAGATTTTTAAGTTCAGAATTTTTATAATTTTTTTTTATTATTATTTAACAGAAAAACGTGATATTTATAATTATTGCTGAAACTTATCAAAATTATGCCGAACCTTTGATTTATGATGAATGATTTGTGAAGATGAAATAAAAGGAGAAAATATAAATTTAAAATCATCTCAAAGTAATGATGAAATCGATGCAACAAAGGATCAGAACAAATCACCAGAAAATTAACTATTGCCTCCTTCTTCAGAACAATTAATAGCGGGGAAAAAGTTAAAAGAGATTGGTTGACTTATACTGAAACCAACAACTTATTCTACTCTTACGTCTATAATTATTTTTCCAAGGAAACAAATAATAATGGGAATTATATAGATGAAAATGATGGTAATTATATAGTTGCTTCGGAATATTTATCCGAGTTCTATACATTTATGCCGGAACACATGAAAAAATCTGCAAGCTGCGGCACCGGTACTATAAACTATTTGTCGTCTACAATATGTGATGAATTTATTTCAATTATATCGAAAGATTTGCAACTCACAATAGTAAATGAAATATAGGAAGCCAAATTTTACTCCCTAATTATTGATTCAACACCTGATATATCTCACGTAGATCAGTTGACCGTCATTATTTGCTATGTTCTTCCAAGTGGTATAAAAGAAAGATTTTTTTGGGATTTCTACCTATATTTTCTCATACTGGTGAAAACTTTGAGAAAGTTATTTTAGAATTTTTAAATAATATAGATTTTGACATCACTAACTATCGGGGCAGAGTTATGCGTTTAATATGTCAGGTAAATAAAAGGGACTCCTATCCAGAATAAAACAACATATTTTTTCTGCCCATTTTATACCTTGAGCAAATCATTCATTAAATTTAATTGGAAACGTTGCTGCCGAAAGTTGCATGGAAATTACCACTTTTTTCAATATCGTTCAGGAATTGTACGTATTTTTGTTCAAGTTCTACACATAAGTGGAATGCATTACAAAAATTTTGTAAGAGTATAAAACCATTTTTGACACCATGTGGTCTGCTCGTTCCAATCTGTGAAATCCTTAAAGGAAAATAATGAAGAAATGTATACGTCCTCAAACAGAGATGGAAAACTATTAACAAGATCCGAAGCTGCCGATTTACATAAAAAAAGTTTGATACATTTGAGTATGTACTGTTACTTACTCTATGGGTAAAGATTTTAGAGATGCTTCAAACAAGACTCTTCAAAAAAAAATGAATCCTTAAATACAGCAGTTTTAAAATATGATTCATTTATAGATTTCATACAAACTGTTAGAGATGATTTTGACAATTTAGAAAAAGTTAAAGATATTGCATATACTATAATGATATAAAACAGCAGAAAATACGAAAACTATTTCATGATGAAATTCCAGAACATGACGTACGATTCACTCGGCAAGGAACATTGTAAAGTTTATATTGTTGTTGTATGAGATTCTTTAATTAGCAACATTAAAATATCCGAAGAATATAAAACTATTAACAATAAATTCAAAATTTTTTTTTCATGATAGTGATGTTAGTAACTCTTCAATAGGGGAATTAAAATGTTATGAGCAAGATTTAAACCTATCAGAACTGAAAAATGAAGTATTACAATTTAAGACTTTTGTAAGTATTATTTCGCCTGTATCCATGTGGTCACTTATTCAGGAAAATAATATTATTGCAACATTCCCTAATTTAAATATAATTCTGAGAATTTGTTTAACCCTTCCAATAAGCAATGCAAGCGGTGAAAGATCATTCTCAGTAATGGCCAAAAGAAAAAAAATTTTTAAGATCCACATTAGGCCAACAAAAAATAAATAGTTTATCATTACTTTATGTAGAAAAAGAGCTATTATATAACTCTATTAATTACGACTAACTAATTGACGAGTTTGCAGAATTGAAAGTGAGAAAAAAGACAATATAACTAATCAATCTGGGTATATTTGTTTAAATATTGTTTGTTTTTATAAATTATGTTTATTTAATTTTTGTACATGTATATTATTTTGTTCCTTTTTTATCTTGGAATCCGATAATTAAATAGAATTACTTATTATATGCTTTAAATCCAAACTAGCAAACGCAAAGTATGTGTCATGACTGAAAAATAGGCCCGGAGTTACAATGTTGCTAAGGCACCGCTTTAGCCTTAGTCCTCCACTGGTGCAAAGGTATGACTGCTCCTTATAAAGGTTGAATTAAGCATACAATTTATTTGTAGATGAAGCACACTTAATGCAATTAAACGTTTTTTTTATTTGTTTCTTTCCTTACTTTTTATTTTGTTTGACTGTTCATCCTAATTGATACAAAATAAGCTAATTTGAATAAGAAACTTTTTCATACACTTAGAATTTTTTCTAAATTTTTTACTCATTAACTGAACAATATGAGTTTTTTTTCCGACACTATCACAAGTGCTGCGATAATCGATGACGTCGATTCTGTAACATGTCCAAGCATTACGAATGATGTAATTATATCGGTAAATTTAAATGCGAAACTTTTACTTTATGAATTAGTATTAAATTTATTTATAGCTGTATGCTTGTAGTACCTCAAAAGTATTGAAAAATAAAATTTATTTGAAGATACAACATGTGTTCTTCGCAATATTTTTTCACTTTTTTTCACAATGCAGTTTTAATTTGGCCGCACATTTTAAATAGAACTAAATAAATTGATAGATTAAGAAATGGTTTTCTTTCTTTAATTGTAACTCGTTTATTTGACGATGTTTTTTAAATGAGGTTTTTGATTCGATACTACAGTGCCAGGGATGTGATTCTTCCGTGGATCCGCGGATTTCCGCTTTTTTCAGATTTTTCCAAATCTTCCGCTCTTTTTTCATAAATTTCCGCGCNTCCCGTCCGCTTATATCAAAATACATTGAAAAATCATCGTTTATTGTAATCAAATGTCCGTTTATTGTAATCAAATGTCCGTTTATTGTTATCAGTTTATAGGTAAATTTATTTTCCTGAAATCAATAAAAACAAGAAGGAAAACTTTTTTTTGTGTTTTGTGAAGTGTTTCCTGAAACTTACCAAAAGTCCAAACAGGGCTCGTATATTATCTTTTAAACACGTGTTATTATGAGGGGGGGATATTTTGCCATTTTCGATCAAGCATTGTAAAATTCCGTAGCACCGTGCGATTTCAAATTCCCGGAAATCCTAAATAAAGAGAAAAGAAGACCAGCCAGTAACGAGTAAATGTTTGTCACGAGCCCCTTTTTAGAAGAACTAAACAATGTGACAGATGATATGTCCCAGCCACTATGGGAAGGGGGTAAGGGGTGACCTTCAAAAGAGAACATTGTTTCAGGTATGCCACTTGATCTTGGCAGGTCGCTTAGCCAGTCGCTATTGGTCAAACAATAAAATTGGGGGGGGGGGGTAGTGGAACTGCCTCATCTAAGTGCTTAAAAGACGCATGTAGAAAAAGATCAGCATAAATTTTCACTTTACCATAGTCCATACGGTTTGTAACCTGATTTTTGTTTTATAATGGAAAGGAAACGGAGAGATCTTACTGTGAAAGAAAAGGTTGACATTTTAAATCGTTCCGATAAATTGCCGAAAATGAGCCAAAGGAATGCTGCTGTTCAATTGAAAGTTTCGCAGCCGCTTTTGTGCAAAATTTTAAAAAATCTAAAGGATATCGAAAAAAAAGTGCACTTTGAACGGAAATCTGAATTGTAAAAGAAATCGAGATTGAAAAGACAAAGAGGTTGAATCTACATTAAAACTCTGGTTCACAAACGTTCGTGAGAGGGACGCTCGTGTTAATGGTCCAATTTTGCGCCAAAAAGCTGAAGATTTAGCTGCAAAATTGGGTAAAGGAAACTTCGTAGCCACAGAAGGATGGTTCCACCGCTGGAAAAAGAGGCAGAACATACTCTTCCGAAGGACACATGGTGAACAAAAAGATGCCGATAATGTAGCCGCAGATCAGTGGATTAAAGAAGAATGGCCTAAACTTATTGCCGTATATTCACATGAAGATGTATATAACGCAGATGAAACTGGCCTATATTTTCGTGCGTTGCCTGAACACACCTACATGTTTCAGAAGGAAAGTACGCAAGGGTGTAAAACCTCCAAGGAACGCCTAACTGTGCTATGTTGCGCTAGTATGACCGGCACTAAAGAAAAACTTTTAGTGATTGGAAAAAGTAAGAAGCCCCGCTGTTTCAAAGGTGTGAAAAATCTGCCCGTCGATTATTTTGCCAACAAAACGGCGTGGATGACTACCACCATCTTTAACGAATGGCTGTTGAAATGGGACAAGCGACTAAAACGGAACATACTCCTGCTCATAGACAACTGCACTGCGCATGATGTAACTGTTTCATTAAAAAAGATAAATATCGTGTTCTTACCACCAAACACCACTTCTTTAATTCAACCGTGTGACCAGGGAATTATCCGCACCTTGAAGGCATATTACAGAAAGGAAATGCGTTCAAGGATCTTAGAAAATATGGAAGACCAAGACGCTGAAGATCTTAATGCGAACGCTC